GGACGATTTTGTGACCAGACAGAAGAGCCCTCTTCTGTGCTCTGCCTGTGAAAAGTGGCAGCTGTGCTGCGTTCCTCTGTCCAGGAAACCCGTGAACAGCTCAGAGAAAAGTCCTGAGAAAAGCGACGATGATTAACGAGCTGGAAAAGCAAGCGGCAGCCTTGATGGGGGACCCACGGGCAGAGCTGGATGGGTACCCCGCCTGCAAGAAGCTGCGGCCCCCCCATTCCCTACGCCCCCACCCCCGACCCCCCCGGAGAGAGAGGACACACTCGGCTGGGCCCCGGGGAGGGGCAGTTCCGTGGGCAGAATGGGAAGGAAATGCAGAGAAGAGGAAGATGTCAGCTGAACATCACAAACAAATTCCTCGCGCAGGGCACCCCCCACCTTCACCCTCACCCGCCGTGGATGGAAAGCGTGTGGTTATCCCGGGGTCCTGGAAGGCCAGGATGGAGATTTGCGCAAGGCTGGCAAAGCCCCCGAGAGCTGCAGAGCCACAGCTGGAGACTGGCCGCCCCGGGGGGATCGGACTCTCCGGGCCGGGAGGCTGGCCGAGTAGGACCCAGGCAGCTGACAGCACCCAGGCCCCTGGCCGCCTCCGGAGCCAGCCCCCCGCCAGGGCCTGGGCCCGTGCTCCTGCAGCCCACGCCTGGGCCGGTCCCTGAGATTTATGTGATCAGAGCCCCGAGCTGGGACCTTGGGAACAAGTCTTCCTTTCCTGGTCCACTGAAGTCACTGGAACCCGTTAGTGAAGTTTCATCCCTGTCCGTAAATCACCTCCTTAGTCCTGCAGCATGACGCTTAAACAGCCGAGGAGGTTTGTTTTTAATTTCCTTGGACTACGAAGCGTACACGCAAACACCGGCCTGAAAGCAGCCTGTGTTCCCATTGTTCTGGGTGCACCACCTCCAACCTCTGCTCTGCCGCTGGGCGCGGCGAAGGCCACAGGGGCTCTGGGGGTGGTACGCTCAGCGGGGCAGGGGGGTGCCCACCAGGCTGCCGCCGGGGAGGGAGGCCGCTGTGAAATCGAGAAGACTGACTTGTCACAGGGGCCCGGCCGCAGGGTATGTTTGCAGCAGCCTGGGACCCCAGACAGCCTGCCCTCTCCCCTGATACCCCCCCGCCGTGGCCTTCCACCTGTGGCCTTTTTCACCGTCAGCCTGGCAGTGTCTGCCTGCACAACCCCACTCCGCCCCCACGCCACGCCTCAGCTGTCCTCACTCCCACCACCCCAACCCCTCCCCCCTCCC